GATTTCAAGATACCATCAACAGATATTAAAGTTTGTATTGTGTAACTGTAAGTCAAGGAATTCAAAGATTGAGCAAGACACTCCACTTTCAAAAAACCCTTTGAGGCTAATGTACGACTAACATATGTTTCCAAATTAAACCCTGATTGATCTGAATTGTAAATGTTTGCTGTTCCTAGCAAGCCTATCTCTAGCTTAACTTGACTCACATAATTGGAAGATTGTTCCAATAGTTCTGCTTTATTTAAAATATGCGCTTGTGTCACAAATTTATTTATTTTTCTTGAAACAATACCATGTTGTATTTTAAAGTTGTGTATCCATTTTGATAAACCTGTAAATAATTAAGAAGCAAATGAACTACCTCTTTTGCTTTCAAGGTCCATCTCTGTAGATCTAAATCGTGAATAGGTAGATTTCGATCAGATGCACTGTTAAATTGTTTTAGAACGTATTGAAAGATATACGGTGCCTACCAAAAGTTCGGGGCCACCTAAATAATTTTTGAACGGTTTGAAATATAGGATTGAAATTTATAAGGATTCAATGGGATCATAAAGTCTATTATTTAACCACAAAAACACCCACCTCCACACCCCCGGGGACTGGGGAGAGGGGGGAGCCAAAAAATCTCAAATGGCATGTTGGGTTGAGTGAGGACTCGTTCGAAAGGGCTTTCCGAGATGAAAACAAGGCGAGGTCGCCGAAGCCTCTACGATTTTTTTTCGCAGAGTTATAATCATTTGAACATTGAGATTTTGCGAGGGCCTACAGCGACAACAGAGGAAAGGTCAGGCTTCGCGCGGGCACGCGCGTTCCTGTGTGTGCATGCGTGCGTGCGTGCGCGCGTACTTGTATGTGTGTGTGTGCGTGTTCGGCCAACTAAGGTAAGACCGCTAGCGTGTCCGGCCAACTAAGGCAAGACCGAGATAGGAACACTGGCGTATGTGAAGGAATAAAAACACTAATTATTTAATAAAATGTTCAAATTGATGTCCTTCGATAATTTGGCAGTATCTTAAATGAACGTAAAACGTTTCAATTACGTTAGTTAAAAAATCGGGTGTGATTGAATTTGAAACGTTCACTATTTTTTCCCGCAGCTCTTCTAAATTTTCGGACCTAGTCTCATAGACCTTTGTTTTCAAATACCCCCAGTAAAAGAAGTCTAATGGGGTCAGATCTGGTGATCTCGGTGGCCATTCTATTGTTCCTCTTCTACCAATCCATCGATCAGTGAAAATATCGTCTAGAATATTTCGAGCTTGCAGAGAAAAATGAGCTGGAGCCCCATCCTGCTGAAACCAAACATTATGGAAAGCTTCTCCAGCAATATCTTGAATAGCCAGTATCACTTGGTTTCTTAGCAAATTGCAATAATTTTGAAAACAAAGGTCTATGAGACTAGGTCCGAAAATTTAGAAGAGCTGCGGGAAAGAATAGTGAACGTTTCAAATTCAATCACATCCGATTTTTTAACTAACATAATTAAAACGTTTTACGTTCGTTTAAGACTGCCAAGTTGTCGACGCCAAGTTGCCAAGGACATCAATTTGAACATTTTATTAAATAATTAGTGTTTTTATTCCTTCACATACGCCAGTGTTCCTATCTCGGTCTTGCCTTAGTTGGCCGGACACGCACACACACACATACAAGTACGCGCGCACGCACGCACGCATGCACACACAGGAACGCGCGTGCCCGCGCGAAGCCTGACCTTTCCTCTGTTGTCGCTGTGGGTCCTCGCAAAATCTCAATGTTCAAATGATTATAACTCTGCGAAAAAAAATCGTAGAGGCTTCGGCGACCTCGCCTTGTTTTCGTCTCGGAAAGCCCTTTCGAACGAATCCTCACTCAACCCAACATGCCATTTGAGATTTTTTGGCTCCCCCCTCTCCCCGGCCCCCGGGGATGTGGAGGTAGGTGTTTCTGTGGTTAAATAATAGACTTTGTGATCCCATTGAATCCTTATAAATTTCAATCCTATATTTCAAATCGTTCAAAAATTATTTAGGTGGCCCCGAACTTTTGGTAGGCATTGTATAACAATTTATCAGTCCTTGATTCACCCTCAGCAACTTGTGCTTCCCATCGGTACAATTACATTTATAACTTTCTTAAATCGGTTTTTAACTGATTCTTTTCCTTCTTTTCTTTTGTCCAGATCGCCAAAATTCAATTACTCTCTTCTTATAATCAATGTCTACAATTTCTCTGAATTTTGTATCGTCTTGCACAACTTCCGAAACATCTTCTGAATTGTCTTCAACTAAAACAGCATCAGGAATCACACTAGCATCAGTACAGTTCAAAGTATCATACGTCTCTTTAAATATATCAAAATTGATAGCGTCTTTTATCAAATCTGCAAGTTGAGAAGCGATTGATCTTTCTTCATCTGTTATTCTAGATTCTATATTGTACACTGGGTCCTCGAAAGTGAGGCATAATAACTTTAAAATATTTTTTTGGGTTTAATGACATTATGAAATTTTACAGATTAACAATGCTTTAATAATATTATAACAGAGATTCAAAGTAAATTCATAGAAAGCAGAGTTTATGATTGTAGAAGCCTAAATGAAATTAACACAAAAAATAGTCGTAGGAATAAATGATGGAAAAGTGCTTGCAGTAAATACTTTCCGAAAGAATTTTGAAAACATTCACAAGAAACAGCGGTCGTAAGAACAATTGACGTAAAACTATAAGCAATGAACACTCGCCCAAGTACAGATGTGAAAATGATGATTGATGGTATATTCGAACGAAATTCACGAGCAAGATAGCTCATAGTAAATAAGTGATCAAGAAGTAATTTTGGAAAATGCTTGCTCAACGACAGTCGGGAAAATAATAATTGATCATGTCCGAATGAAATCCTAATACAAAATAAAGAGTAAGAGGTATTGTGAATAACTCCAGAGTAGCAATAAAAATTTAAAAAATTTGAAAATTTCTAATATAGCATGAAGGTAATGTTTAACTTACAATTAGAGTGACATTTTATGTTTTCTTATCTTTACTTCTATTCTGAAGTTACTTACAAAACTTTTTTCTCCTTCTTATTTTTTTCTATAAATTTGCGTCTATTTTCCCATTACGTCAGGTTTTTTCTTTTTTTAGGAAAATAACGCAACATATCAATTCTGAAGACAGATTTAGTCAACACATAAAATTACTGATTATAGATACAGGATGTGGTCAAAGTCCGGCAACGGCTAATTATTTCCAAATTTAATTGACCCTGAAAATCGACTTCAAGGTCGACTTCTATGTCGCTATCAAGTGCATCACTTTGAACTCTACAACTTTGGTCCTAAGCACTTTTTTCAGAAAATGTATCGTTTCAGAAATAATTAGCCATAACTGTTTTCACCTCCAGGGATTGAGGGGTGCTTTCTACCCCTAAAAAGCGTATTTAACCGAAACAAAAAAACACGTATTTAATATTTTTCGGTGTTTAATAAGTATGTTAAGTTTCATTCAAATCGGTGAGTATCAGTTAGGTAGTAGTAGTGTTGTAAGACCTCCGTTGTTGCGGGCGCCCACGGACGGATCTTGCCGATCGCCCGTTTGTAGGGGCGCCCCCACGGATCCTCATCCAGGGAGCTCACCATTTGCTCTCAGGCTCCCTTCTTCGCCTCGACGATGGCGGTCTTGAGGGCTTCTCTCGCCTGGAGGTAGCCCTCGTTTTCCCTCGCGGCTTCCCCGCCATGTCGCCGGGCCCGGGTATACGCCCTTCTGGCTCGGACGGAGGCCTCTCGAAGTTCGGAGAGAGCCTCCGTCCACCAGTATGCGGCTCGGCGCTGGCGGAGGTGGGATCGGGACATCGGGGCGTCGCACACCGACGTCACGATACGCACTAACTCCCTAGCCCCCTCCTGGAACACATCCAGTTGATTGATTGCCCACCTTCTGGGGAGGGGAAAGTTCCCCTCCCCTGGACGGCGGTCCAGCACCCGCGGAGAGTCGGGGAGACCGATGGACCACACTATATATCTGTGGTCCGAAAGCGTTTCGCTCTCGGTCTCCACCGACCACTCTCGGAACATCCGGGCAGCCGAAGGTGAAGCCCATGTCAAGTCAATGACGGACTCCCCATTCGGCCGCACACAGGTGCTGGCCGACCCCCTCCCTGTTCATCAACAGGAGGTCGAGACACACCGCCCAATCGATCAGGGCCTCGCCCCGAGAGTTCTCCTGCCGGGGAACGCAACCCCACTCCGTGGAGTGGACGTTGAAGTTCCCGGCTATCACGACGGGCCGGGGGTGGCATCGTCATACTACCTCGTGCTCCCCGACCTCGTCGAGGACCCCCATGATGCGAGCAAGATCACCCACACGCACACACATATTCACAACAGATGCACAAGCAACCTTCACGCGGTAAATATTACATAATATTATTGACGACGATATTATAATTTTTAAGTCTCATAAATCAAAAAGTGTTCGACAACAGAATATTTCACTGTAGTATTTTTAAAAGTAATAAATTTTCAAAAGTCTCGAGATAAGTTAGGAAAATATGCAGCAAAAAATAAACATTCTTATCGAAGGAATTGAAACTAACTTTCATGTGATCTTGAAACAACTATTTGAAATTAAACCAATGGTATCATCTTATATCTCCTTTGATACCGTAAAACTGTTGTCTGAAACATTTTTTTCTAAAACCTCATAATATCCAGATATTTCACTGCTAAAAATAAAATAAGACACTGTATATAAATTTGAACTTTGGTATAAATATATTTCAATTATGCGACATACACATATGTACATATAAAAGTTTTCTCCGTGTAGAGTAGAATAGGTTTTAAGTTTAGCAGCTGTTAAAACAATGTTTTCATATTGTTATGTGTTGAAATATCCAGTAGATATTTAAGTATGTATTGAATGTATTGAAATGCAAATATAAAAAAATATGTACTTGACGGAAGGATTAATGCAATACCAATAGAAAATAACAAAAAAAGATTATATTTTTATAGGAACATATAATTAATACATCAAAAGTAGTAATATGGTACTTGAAAAAGATCAATTTTCACGGCGATGCATATATAATCGCTTCAGATTGGCAAAGAAGTTGTTTCCAAAAAGCAGGAATACAAACAGTCGAGCAGGTAAGCGAATAAATCGAATAGTTTTCTGAATTTTCTCTCAGTTTTTTATTGTAATCAATCATCATGATAATCGTTGTTATCAGTTGAGAGACTGTAAACATTCCCAATAAGCAAAAAATCATTACGACAATGTTATTATAACGATATTCAGTAACATATAACGTTTTAAAATATGTCATCTTACATGTTGTACACTGCTCAAAAGAAATATGGCATAGATAACACAGGCCTGCAAAATTTCAAAAACTTTATGCGTTTTGGATTTCAAAAGTCATTTCCTACATAATTTTGTCCGCTGAATACGAATCCGGCCTTAGCATTTTCCTATTATGTTAGGTTTTCGAGATAATTAGGTTTAAATAGCCAAAAAATGCCGTTTTTCACTAAGCTATCCAGCCACTGAAGACAAGGCTAGATGATTCAGCCACTGAAGGCAAGATTAAAAGGCTGCCCAGCCACTGAAGGCAAGGCTAGATGATCCAGCCACTGAAGGCAAGATTAATAGGCTGCTCAGCCACTGAAGGCAAGGCTAGATGTTTTAGCCACTGAAGGCAAGATTAAAAGGCTGCCCAACCACTGAAGGCAAGATCAGATGATCCAATTACTGAAGACGAAAGCGAAAATGTTAATAAAAGAGATTTTATTTATCCAGAAATAGAGTCAAAAGAGCGTTTCTTGGACTTTTTACTATGAACCACATCAGGAATGTTTCGTTTAGTACTCCAACAGTAATCTGCTAACATATGAATATCCCATCGACCCTGATATCTTTTTTCCATCTTTTTAATATCCTGATGAAACTTTTCCCCTTGTTCCTCGCTTATGCTTCCCTAAGCTACATTTGGGGAAATAGTCAAGATGCCTTTTAAAAAAATGTATCTTTAGATTCATATTGCTTCTTAATTTCATAAACTTTTCAAGCGTGTTACTCATCAATTCTTAACAGTTAGAATCTTTTTGTTTCTCAAGAAACTCAGAATCATTTTCTTTAATGAAACCCAAGCTGCTCTTTCTAAACAAGTCATTGTTTTTTCAAACTTCTCGTCTTTAATAAGTAATCTAATTTGAGGCCCAATAAAAATGCCTTCCTTAATCTTTGCATCACTGACAACCAAACCTTTTTCTTTTGTTCTTTTTTTTTTTATCACGGTGGGAAATCCTCATGGATACCCCTGCCCCTTGGGGGGGCAGGGGTTATGCCGGACTCTTACCGGCTAAAACCCCACCGGGGTGTCTACCATTCGGGCCGGAATGTGGGGAGTCGGGGGAACTGCGCCGGCACTCCCTCCCCGACACCCGGCCCCGGGGCTCCAATGGAGCCCTACGCCCAAGCACCGCGCCTCTTCCCCGAGGGGAGTTGAGAGACACGGTGCCCCGGCCGGAGTCCCGGCCGGGTTGGCCTTCCGGTTCAATTAAGAAGAGGGGGGACACCCACCCACCTCTCCTGCTAAGCCTCCCTCATTACTTGAGGTAGGCTGGAGGGGTGGGGCCCGTCCCCAAACAGGCCACCACCCTCCATTTCCTACCATGTCTGTGGCGCGGGAGGAGTCGAGTTAACCCCGTCTCCCCCCGCGCTGACGGAGGCGGGCCCGAGGCGGCCGAGGAGGCCCCCGACGAATTGGAGGCGGCTCCTCGGCCGGCGCCACTTCGGGCCCACTCCCTAGACCCGGGGAGCGCCTCCTCCTCCCCCGTCGCTCCCTGCGACGGGCTCCGGGACGGCGCTCCCATTCGGCGGCCTCCTTCCGGGTCATTACGTCCCTGGAGAAGGAGGCCGCCGCCTCCCATGCGTCCTCGCTTCCGCACATGGCCTGGACCATGCGCGGAAGCGAGAGGGCCTCCTCCGCGCAACCTACCATTAAATTCATGTGGTTTCTCTTGTAAATATCCACTTTTGTACCACGAATACTTAAACATATTTATAAACCTAGGAGAAGATAGTTGATTATGAATGAGCGATTAAAGTTTGATAATGTTGTTTCGTAAACCAGGCACGCGATAGCCCCGAAGAGCGTTCGTATTCAGAGATGACAGACGGAGGACGTGGCTTACAGCCCGCAAATGGAGTATAAAGCCCATTTTTAATTCTACAATTTTTACATCGAATTTGTTCTCAGCGACATGAAAATCCCTTATCATTTCCTTAGATTTCAAAAACATCTGTAATAACCTGAGCTTAAATGCAACGAATTAATTATTCGTTCTTGTAAATACAAGAGGTAGTTCCTACAAAATCGGTGAATGACACAAAGGTAGATTTACTTGTAAAAGACACGTATTTTTTTATACGTGCCTAATCTTACTTTTAAGGGGTAAAACATCCCCTGAAGGTAATTTGTTATATTTGGTTTTGGGGGAATATCTTCGAAACCGTGAAAGATAAAAAATTGTTTGAGGTAAGTTTAATGGTAATTAACGTTCTTGAAAATGGTATAATCAAATTTTGTAACAATTTGATATTTTGCAAAATACCACCATAGCGAGTTGTTTACGGATTATTTTCCAAAAATGGCATTTCGGAAACCAACTTTGTTATACATGGTTGAATTTGGCGTGAAATTTTCTTTAATTTTTATCCTAAAAAATTTTTTAATTTTGCAAAATTAATTGATGGTGGTGTGGGTATTTTGCAAAATATCAAATTATTGCAAAATTTGATTATACTGTCTTTAAGAACTGTCTTTAAGTTGATTACCATTAAACTTATTTGAAACATTTTTTTATCTCTCATGGTTTCGAAGATATTCGCTCAAAACCAAATATGTCAAATTACCTTTCAGAGGGTGTTTTCATCCTTAAAATTGCACCATTGCCGATATAAAAAATACATGTCTATTATTTTTTACTACTCTACAAGTATACTGAGTTTAAATAAAATCGGCGATTGACACAAAGGTAGGTTTGCTTGTGAGATGAGCATACTTTGTACAGAGGTATTTAAAACAATTTCCTTCCTTATGCAGAGCCTTCACGAATTGCTTCATTAGACTCAATTTTATGTGCAACGGAGATAACAAAATTTTATTAGGATCAACTAACGTTTCATTTATAACATTTTTCACGCCAGGTTCCAAGCTTTTTCTTACTTTTCATTTTTTTTCTGTTCTGTGAAGTTCTTTGGCTCTACTATCCCATTCACAAAGAAAACATGGGAATTTAGTGAAACCTTGCTGCTGTCCTAGAAGCATACATAAAATTTTCAAATCACCGCAAATTAACCAATTGTGTTGTTCATAGTTAATATATTCCAACAGTGTTTTTAAGTTTTCATATGTTTCTTTTAAAGGAACTGGGTGTCCAATAGGTACTGATGCATATATTTCCCCATTGTGAAGGAGAACAGCTTTTAGGCTTCGTCTTGAGGAATCAATGAAAAGTCTCCATTCATTAGCATTATAAGACTTTAATCCCAAAAAATGCATCAAGTCAAATACATTATTGTAGAAAACTAATGAATCTACCATAGAAAAAAAGGAATAAATTCTTTTTCACGATGTCTGCACCAAGAAAACGTTGTTTCTGATTCTAACAAATGCCTCCCTTCCAATCTGGATCCCAATAACTCTGCACTTTCTTTAGATAGACCTAAATCTCTTACAAGATCATTTAAAGCAGACTGATTGAAAGGCTTTGGACTATTGTCATCAACCGGATCTATTTCATAAGTTTCAAAATCTACATTGTTCTCATCAATAGGATTGTCGTTGTCTAAAGATGGTAAAGAAGGGTTCATTGGTGGAGAAGGAATAGGAATATCAGGTCCACGAAAAACAGGTCTTGTAGCGCATGAAAATGTTGTATAAGAGATGTTTTTCTTATTGCAATCATTATAGCCCGTGATTTGGCATGAGCAAAAGTAATAGCTAGTTATATGATCAGTTGATTCATGCCAAATCATTGAAATACCAAATTGCATGCCACTTCTTTTTCCTTTCAACCAATATCTAAATCCTTGATAGCAAGTTGTACAAATTGTATGAGGAACCTATAATTTATCAATATTTTTTATTTCAATATTAAAATATTCAAGATAACATGTTTTGATATTTTATAGTTATAGGAACTTTTTGTTTTTGCGGAACATATTCACCACAGATGTAGCAAAATTTATCAGGATCGTTTTTACACATTCGCGAAGACATTTCATTAAAAAATATATATGTATTAAAGAACAAATGAAATATGTAAATACTCTACACACTTTTAATGATATGTTATAATAAGGAGGAACAGGATATATGAAGTTATTATTGCAGCATAGTGTTACAAACGTATAGTCTGTAAAGTAAGAGCGTGCACGGGTTAATGTGTAGAAAAATTTATTTTTAATGATTTTTAAGTACATGGATTTGTTGTACTCCATGAGAAGAAAAATGCTATACCATTAATAATGAGTCCAGTCACCACCGGTATTGATAATTGCCTGACATCTCCGAGACATACTTTCCACTAAGTTGACTGCGTATTCGTTCGGTAAAGACCTCGGTAAATGAGACGAATTTGTCGTGTCAGCTGCTTCAGAGTGCACACTCTTTTTCCTCGAAGCTTGTGCTTGAAGTATGCCCACACATTTTCAGTGGGATTTACATCTGGCGACTGCGATGGCCAATCAAGTGTGACGATGCCAGACTGCTCTTTCCACTCTGTGCAAAGCTTGCTCCGGTGTTTTGGGTCGTTGTCTTCCTGTAAAATCCAGTCCTCGTTTTTTTTATGAAGCATCGTTCAGCAGTCGGCAACAAACACTTCTCATAAATTTTAAGCATTTTCGGAGCATTCAAATTGTATGTAAACAGATGTAATGCTCCAAAACCCTGTTTCGAAAAGCAGCCCCAAAGATGAACTTTTACAGGGTGTTTAACAGGAGAAAGAGCAGTTATATTAATCTATTGGTCAAGGTTGACCAGTAACGTCGGATGGCAGTATATCCCCAAACAGAAGCTTCGTCCGTAAAGATCACGTTGCTCCAATCTCGGTCCAAATTCTCCTTTGCCCAAGCGAGTCTT